ACTAATCTATATTGAGGATATCATCATCACAGGCGATAACATTGATGAGATTCACACTCTTAAACATTCTCTTCATCAACAATTTGCCATTAAAGACTTAGGAGTTTTAAAATACTTCCTTGGGATTGAACTGGCCACTTCCCCCAAGGGACTTTTTTTTAGTCAAAGGAAATATGTGATTGACTTACTTCAAGAAGTGAAGATGATGGATTGCAAACCAACTCGTACTCCTCTTGATAGCAAATTGAAGTTGGACTTGATAGGAGAACCTCTCAGTGATATCAGTTACTACCAACGATTGGTGGGTAAGCTTATATATCTCACCATCACCAGACCGGATATAACTTACGCCGTCAGTTTTGTAAGCCAATTCATGCATGCACCCACTGAAGCTCATCTAAATGTTGTTAAAAGAATTCTCAGATACCTCAAAGGCTCCATTGGTCGGGGAATCGTCATGAAAAACAATGGTCATACTCAAATCATTGCCTACACCGATGCTGACTGGGCAGGGAATGCTATTGATAGAAAATCCACTACTGGCTACTGCACGTTGGTTGGAGGAAACCTCGTGACATGGAAGAGCAAAAAACAAAATGTAATTGCTCGCTTAAGTGCCGAAGCTGAGTATAGAGCCATGGCTTCCACTGCATGTGAACTCATTTGGCTTAAGGGCATTCTCTCGGACTTGGGGTTCTCAATCAACACACCTATGTCTCTTTTCTGTGACAATCAAGCAGCTATGCATATTGCCTCCAATCCGGTGTTCCATGAACGCACCAAACACATTGAAGTTGACTGTCACTACGTTCGGGAACAAGTCCAGTCCAAGGTAATTCAAACCACATTCACTCGAAGCCAAGATCAACTTGCTGATATTTTCACGAAGTCTCTTGCTTCTCCTCAGTTTCAAAGTTTGCTCTCCAAGCTTGGATCAATTAACCTCCTTGATCCAGCTTGATGGGGAGTATTGGAAGAACAAGCCGTCCTACCTTGTCTCCTAGCCGTCCTACCTCGTCTCCTACCTTGTCCAAGCCGTCCTACCTTGTCCAAGCCGTCCTAGCTTGTCCAAGCTACACAACAAGCCGTCCTACCTTGTCTCCTAGCCGTCCTACCTTGTCCAAGCTACACACTTGTATCCCTTAAGTGTTTCATGTAAATATATCCTTGTAATCTTGTAGAGAAATATAATGAGAAAAAACATTCTCTTCCATATTTTCCACAGCGCGGTTCAAAAGCATCCTTACCTACAGCTTTTGAGCTATGGATCATCCTTGTATTTTGAGAACAATGCCAGATCACAGCTTACTCAGCAATTCGTCTGTCCTGGTGAATCTTTTCTATCAAGCTCCCAAGAGCTGAGAAAGTGTCCTGTTTCGTTTCACACCCAAATATTAGAAAGTGATCGATGACAGGACAGGGACGACAAATTGAGGTATGCAGCCGACTATATTACGACGCAGTTCTTCCCCATAAAAATCCTCATCGAAGTCGTGAAGCAGCCATGGCTCCTGCATTTCAAACTACATGCAAAGGCAACCGATACTCATGACCATTTTGAAGACGCCACGCGTTGATAATCCAGCCCCCCCAAATAAAATATACCCCAGAGGGATGTTCGGAAAGAAGAGATGCATATCCTTCTGGATCAATTTTGCTGGGGAAAAAGAGCATTCAATCTATTAGCTACATCTGGAATACAACTTATATATGTCATCTCAAACTAAGAACAGCAGTTGTAACCCTTTTCATGAGTCAATTTCATATTATATATTTTACCCTATTCTTAGTATACTTTGGTTAATATTTTAGAAGAATTTTGATACTTTGAATTGTATTTCTAATATAGAACTTTCGACTTCTTCTGGAGCAAAACATGGTCAAATGGACGAATTTTGGAGTAATTCTAATTGAAGGACGTTTGTGAGTCACTTGGCTTGATCGTATCAAAATATCAGATTTTTCTACCAAGCGATGATTTTCTGGCAATAAAATAAATGAGTAATGCGCAGTGCTGGAATAGTGACGTTTTGGGCCTAACTTGCGTTCGCGTTTTTGGAGCCCAAAATGACCTCGGATGGGTTCGTGGACTTCTGGAGATGTGTTCAGAACGTCCTGATCGTCAAAACAAAATATTATGGACCGGATTTGGAGGAAATTTGAAGTTAAAACGTGGCTGAACAAGTACTTGGCAGATTCTCCTAGTTTAATTAGGACTTTATTTTCTATTTTATTTTATTATTATTTAGTTTCTTAGTGGGAATAAAATACTTGGTTGTTAGGGTTTGTGTCACATCCCCGCCCGGGGCGGATCACTTCCTGGGCCCACTCCACCACCGTAGCACGATATTGTCAGCTTTGGGCTTACCATTCCCTCACGGTTTTGTTTTTGGGAACTCACGAGCAACTTCCCAGTGGGTTACCCATCATGGGATTGCTCTAACCCCCTTCTCGCTTAACTTCGGAGTTCCGACGGAACTCGAAGCCAGTGAGCTCCCAAAAGGCCTCGTGCTAGGTAAGGATGGGAATATACATATAAGGATCACTCCCCTGGGCAATGTGGGATGTTACAATCCACCCCTCTTAGGGGCCCGACGTCCTCGTCGGCACACACGCAACTAGGGTTAGGCTCTGATACCAATTGTCACATCCCGGCCCAGGGCGGATCACTTCACGGGCCCGCTCCACCACCGTAGCACGATATTGTCCGCTTTGGGCTTACCATTCCCTCACGGTTTTGTTTTTGGAAACTCACGAGCAACTTCCCAGTGGGTTACCCATCATGGGATTGCTCTAGCCCTCTTCTCGCTTAACTTCGGAGTTCCGACGGAACCTGAAGCCAGTAAGCTCCCAAAAGGCATCGTGCTAGGTAAGGATGGGAATATACATATAAGGATCACTCCCCTGGGCAATGTGGGATGTTACAATCCACCCCCCTTAGGGGCCCGACGTCCTCGTCGGCACACACGCGACTAGGGTTAGGCTCTGATACCAATTGTCACATCCCGGCCCGGGGAGGATCACTTCCCTGGCCCGCTCCACCACCCTAGCACGATATTGTCTACTTTGGGCTTACCATTCCCTCACGGTTTTGTTTTTGGGAACTCACGAGCAACTTCCCAGTGGGTTACCCATCATGGGATTGCTCTAGCCCCCTTCTCGCTTAACTTCGGAGTTCCGACGGAACCCGAAGCCAGTGAGCTCCCAAAAGGCCTCGTGCTAGGTAAGGATGGGAATATACATATAAGGATCACTCCCCCGTGCTAAGTAGAGATGTGAATATACATTTAAGGATCGCTCCCCTGGGCAATGTGGGATGTTACAGTTTGTGCGTTGGCTTTAGGGAGATATTAAAAGGCTTTGGGCGGTTCTAGTTTTGGGGGACGTTTTATTTTGTGCTACTTTGGAGACAGAGAGTAATTGCTAGGGTTCTTGGAGATTTTCTACTTTAAGGTGTTTTTATTCCTTTTATTCTTAATAATATTTTTTTATGATTTCAATTATGAATATACGTAACTAATTCCTTTTGCTAGGGCGAAGCCTTGAGCCTTAGCATGAATATGTAATTTTTATTCAATTGCTTATGATTGTTTGCATGTGAACTTTTGAATTACAAATCACCGTGATTTAAACTATCTAATTGTCTTAATGCCTGATCACCATTATGATCCTTAGAAAAGTAATTTGATGCAGTTTTGGTCGGAAGGTTCTCTGAAATTGACGCTGACTTCTTGTGATTAATAATTGTAATTTCACTTAAGATGAACACCACGTCTTGAGGGTTGCATGGTTTTTCAAAGGATTTTCATAAAGCATAATGAGTCTTTCATGTTCAGATTTGATCCGAACGTTCGGACGCGTTGCATGTTAGATATATGTTCTATGTTGGAGGTTCCAAGTAGAATATAAATTAGGGAAACCTAACCTTCAAAGTTGCATATGTAGATCATAACTAATTGGTAAAAATACATAAGATTGTTTGGCGATGGTGGAACCCTAGTGCTCTCTTAATTTGATTTTTTCCAAAACAGTTTTCTTTCCCCTTCATCTTTAATATTGCAGATTAGTTTACTTTTATTAATTAAATTCGTTTTAATTTAAGTAGGTTATAAAACCAATCATCTTAACTTTCTGCTTTACAATAATTAATTGGAATTTGATTTGTTTCGAATTATTTAATAATCATGTAGATAACGACCTTGCTAGAACCGTTTATATAACAACCTTGTCATTCTTGCAAGTAATATAAAAATTTTTAACCCGTTTGCATGTGTGATAAAATCTTTATCAAGAAATTGACGCCGCTGCCAGGAATTATTTAAAATAATTCGCTCTAATCAGATTCTGCATTAATTATTGTTGTATATATTAAAAAAAAATAAAAAATAAAAAATCAATTTCAAAATTTTATTATTCTTCTACAGATTACAGCAGTGTAGATTGCAATCTGTGCATTGTCAGTACACGGTCAGCAGTGCAGAAATTGTTTCATTTTGATCCAGAACTTGAGCAGATTTTAAGGAGGAGACGCAGGGAGAAAAATTTGCAGTGGGTTCCTTCTTTGCAGGGGACTTTTCTTAAGTCTTTATTTTCTGAGGATCTACACAGTAAGGAAACAATGACATTTGTTATTCCAGAGGCTGGTCAACCTTTAGGGGATTCATTAATAGCTCATGCTACTAACATACCAAGTTGCATTACTTATCCGGAAGTGGAGGAAGGGTCTACATTTGAAATAAAGCAGCACATATTGAATTATTCTACCTACATTTCATGGGTTCTCAACCGACGATCCTAACATGCACATTGTAGAATTTTTAATGGGATGTAAGAATATTTTGGTGAGAGGATTTTCATCCGAATCTATTAAGCTTCGATTATTTCCTTACACAATAAAAGATCAAGCAAGGGTATGGCTCCTCACACTTCCATCTGGAAGCATTAGCACTTGGAACCAACTCAGTGAAAAATTCTTAAGCAAGTATTATCCAGCTTCAAAGACTCTTAACATGAGCAGATTCTATCTTTTGCCCAAAAACCAAATGAAAAGTTTCATGAGGTGTGGGAACAGTTCAAGGAGTAGATTAGAAAATGTCCACATTCTAGTATTAACAGTACTAATCAAATGCATATATGTTTCAGAGGACTAAATATGACAACAAAAACTCTTGTCAATGCTTCATGTAGAGGTTCGTACAAGGATAAAAATGCACAAGAAGCTTGTTTGTTATTTGAAAAAATGGCAATAGATACATAGCAATGGGCAGTTAAGCAGCCACAATCTAGGTCAATTTTTGAGATGTCTAATGGTTCTCCATATGTATCAGCACAAATTGAAAAAATGGAGAAAAAGCTTGAAAGATTTGATGCAAAATTTGACATGTTATTACAAAGAATTACAGGTTCATAGGTTGCCATACAGCAGCCTTTACAAACTGCCTGCAACATTTGTAACATGACAACACATGATTTTTTGAGTTGTCCACATAAAGATGCTTATCCGGAGTTTACAGCAGAGCAAGTTAATGCATTTAATAATTTTCAACGTCCCCGAAATGACCCATATTCAAATTTTTACAACCTCAGTTGGAGAGATCATCCTAATTTGAAGTGGGATAGAGATTAGCATGCAAAGCCACAATTTCAACAATAGGTACAACAACTACTTGGGAGATTGCTGATGCGAAAATTATACGCACACAAATTAAACCCTCTTTTTGACAATTGTAGTAAGTATGTAAGTAGGGATCGTTCAGGACCGGGGATTATGAGGGATTGTTAATCACTTGGATTTCACTCAAAAACGTAAAAACACAATATAAAACACTATACTAGACTCAAAGAATGCAAAACTAAACTTTAAAACACTAAAACAAATCAAAAGACTCAAAATAGCACAAACACACTCAAATCTGCCTAAAGACCACTTTCTGGGCAGTTTTGAGCACAAACCCAAATTTGGACGAAATTAAGTTGTAACTTGACTCAAGACTCTTAAAAACACAAACTAAATTGATTTCTAACTAATTTGACAATAAAGTAAAGGGGGATTTAGGGTTTGACGAAATTAAACTAAATGAACAAATTGCAATTAAAACAGAATGTAAATATGAAATTGATGAAATGGAATGAATGGATGCTAGCCAAGGGGTTCATCTCCACACATGTTACACTTGCATAATAAAAAGATTTCCAATTGCATTTCAATAAACCATGAATTCTCAACACCCCAAGTTAACCGTGATGCACTAATTAACCTTCAAATCTTCCTAACGTTATTGAATTGGATGATTGCATACGACAACCCAAATATTCCCCACAAGTCCCCTACATGATTGCATAATAGAGATACAAGCAAGAATCATTATGCTCTATGAAAATTATAAGTGTTGACAAGGCATTCGTTACTATGATTGCATGAAACTTATGCCAAGAATTCGTTTAACGCGATTGTTTATAAGCAACCTCCACTACTTGTGAATATAAGTTCGTAACTATTAGGTGAAACTCACTTATATTCTAGCGTCATATTCATGCATGAAAATTAAGCGTGCACTCTCAATAAACATACATAAATAAGTTATCAATCAAACAGTTAAACAAATTGAATCCACAACTTATGAAACGCAATTAGAAGTAATCAAATCAAAATGCAAGCATAAACATATATTTCGAATCCCCCCCTAGCCAAGGGGGGTTTAGTTCCTCATACGTACAAAACAAAGAGAATTGAAATTAAACATTGAATTCAAAGGAAAAGAAACACCTAAACATTCCAACAACTCAAACTTGAATTGTATGAACGTTTAGGCCCGCTTCTCTTCCTCTTTGTTGTAGCACAAGGTCTAAGGATAGGTTTTGGGGATTATGGATGATGTAGAATGGAGTGGGGTGGTAGGATAGGAAGTGGTGAATGGTTGAATTTCTGGTGGTGTTTGGATTAATAGGGAACTCACGGCACAAGTTGGTGTGTATGGATGATTTTCTGAAATGGAAGAGTGAATGAATGTTGTGTGAAGTGTGTATGGTTTTTATAGGGAGATGAATGGATGGGAGAGGGAACATGACAGCTAGGTTAAGTGAATGCATGTGCAATGAAGTGGAATGACAGCTAGGTTATGATGATGAGTGCATGTGAGTTGAAATGCATGTGGAATGGCTGCAAGGATGAAGTGGACAACCTGGAAATGCAAGGTGAATGTGCATGGCTGGAATGAATGTGTTTGCATGTGAATTAAAGCTATATGTGGCTGCAATGATGAAATGGATGGGAGTTCATGTGGCTTGGGTGGAATGAAGGGGGAAGTACACGGCTTTGGGAGAGATTGAATGTGTGAATGATGGCAGATTGTGTATGTGAATGATTAGGGTGAATGTGCATGTGCTTTGACAGCTAGGTTGAATAAATTAAAGGGAGTGCATGTGGCTTGGCTGGAATGATTGGAATGCAATCTGAAATGGGATGGGAGTGCACGGCAAATGGTGAATGGGGGATTGTGATTGAATGATTAAAGTGCATGTGGGTTAATATGTGGCTGATTAGAATCTAGGGTGAATGGTGTGTATTGGATGCACGGCAAAGGATATAGGAAAGGTTTAAATGTCCTAAAACTAAAGGGAACAAGGTTCCAACACTTTGGTCTTTAATTAGGTCTTCAATTTCGTCCAACACTTTGGCTCCAAGCATAAGCTATCCATCCATAGCCCAAAAGTGCTCCAAAAGTCTCCAAAATGCATCTTTTTGCTCCTTTAGCCCTTTGGACATACAAACACATGAAAATAGCTTAAAGTACTAAAATTACTAAGTACTAGCAACATAAATGCAAGAAAACAAGCAAACTAAGGCGCATAAATATGCTCCTATCAAATTCCCCCACAGTTAGCTTTTGCTAGTCCTCGAGCAAAACAAAACAAAAGAAACCAAAAACAAAACGACACTGAATAAGTAAAACACAACCTAAACCTTCCAACAATCGTCTCAGGGATTTCCAATGCACATGACAAGTTAAAAATCATTATTCCCACAGATTTTAGCCATCTTTACACTTAAGTACATTCTTAATCATAGTCACCACATACTAGTTCACAATTAAGCATTTAAAACACATTTCGAATGTAGTAACATGCCTTAGAGAATTTCCTCAATTCCTTACTAAAATGCACTCTATTTTCACACAGATTTTCTGACTACACACCCTACACTAGTTATATGTGAGAGATTGATGTAAACATGAAAGACTAGTATCTCACATATGTTATAACAAAGAAAGCATTTTCTGGATTTACGATAATGACATGAATATGATCTCATGAATGGAATGCTACTACTTAGAATGAGAACCAGTGATTCCATAAGCTCATATCAATTCCAAACTCCACAAATTGAAACATATAACACTCAAGATAGAAGTCACGGGTTGTAATGGGGCTTGGGGTGTGTGGATAACAAAGAAGGGATATGGAAAACAAAGGTTCTTAAAGAAATAGTGAGCAAAGCACCTGAATCAACTTAGAATTCACTTTTGAATGAAAACTCAACTTTTGAACAAAAAGGGAGAACAAGCTCTTTTTTTCTTTTTTCATATGTTTTTCACAATTTTTTTCTTTTCTTTTGACTCTCAAAACATACATAAACACTTAAGAACAAAACATTCTCTCCCCCACACTTATTTTCTTTCATAATGTACTCAAAAGGAATTCATTTAAGTCATGCTCACTATCTTTTAAGAACAAGGGTGTGGACTGTCCTACACTAGGCTAGGTGAGGATAATGTGGGTAAACAAAGAATAAAGGCTAAACAAGGCTCAACGGGGTTAAAACTTACAACAAATACGAAATATGGGAAGTAAGGCTATTTGGCTATGGTGGCAACTACACAACTTCATCTTGATATATGTTATGCAATTCAATGTCATGCTTTGAATGAAACGGATATAAGTTCTAGCATTTAGTTCTATCATGATACAATTGCATTCTAAGTAGCAACCAAGCAAAGAATAATGAGATCATGCAACAACTTTAGAAAAAAAAGAATCACAGATTATAACTCTCCAAAGAAGGTAATGGCTCGAGTCTCACAGGGTTGTAGCGTTTGTTTGAGTTCCTTCCTTCAAGCATGTTACAAAAACGAATTTTTCTTTTATGATTGCATGTGAAGTCATACATTATAACCATAACCAAGCATATACCAAGAGTAAATCAAACTTTTCTCTATGTTTATAACTCTTTTTAACAGTCATGCAATTACAAACCAAATCCTTATTATTGTGTTGGAAGGTACCCTAAGACACAAACACACAAAAACGACTCAAAACACTCTTTTTAGGCTTTTCAAAACATGTTTTTCAAATTTTTATGTGATTTTCAGAGTTATCAAAACAAAACATACTAAAACACTCTAAAACAACTTAAAAATACCTTAAAACAGCAAGGAACAACATTTGAAGTTATGGATGATAAAATCCCACGAATTTGCATCAAATATACTTAGTTACCCCCCCCCCCCCCCCCACACTTAAATCAAACATTGTCTTCAATGTTTCAAGCATAGACTCACACAAATAACAAACAAACAAACAAAACAACATCTAACAACCTAACATGGCATAAACAAAATCAACAACAAAGAGAAGAGTTTAGGAACGCAAATCTGGAATTGGAGTGCTTTCTCGGCCTTCCTTTGTTGAATGCATGGGCATGATCTTGGTGATTCCACATGCTTACTCTTGAACTGGGCTGAAGATTCTTTTGGTTTCCTCCAATCGTTGATTTTCCTTTGTGCTACTCTTGAACTGGGCAACAGGATTCTTTTGGTCTCCCCCGAAGGTCTAAGCTTACTCCTTTTATCTGTTTCTTTGTTTAATCTCTCCAATTCGTATTGAAGAGGGTTAGAGGATAGCTCAGCATATGCAGTTGTTGCTTGTCTCCACATGCTTCAATGTATCATTTTAACTTGCCTTACTTGCTCCCCTTTGCAGAAGTGGTCCCTTCTCTGGAAGTGTATCAACCGTTGAAGATGACTACTCGAGAGCAACGCTAGGTAAGCAACCAGGGAATAGATTCCAGGTAGTTGGTTCCAGATCAGAAGACTGACTCCAAGTGCCGGATGATTGCTCACTTTACTTTGCCATGCGAGTAATAACAAGGACAAAGGAAAGGACAGGGGAAGATCATGATATGAGATACCTTTGCTTTCGCCCTTGATGATATGAGATACTTTTGCTTTTGCAGAAGCAGTGAATGAATCAGCACATATATTTGTTGAGCTTGTCTCCACATGCTTCGATCCACCGTTTCCTCTTGCCTCATCTGTACTCCAGGCATCTGGTATCTTCTTTGGGGGATACATCAATGGTTGAAAATGTGTTCTCAAGAGAAGAAGAAAACTGAGCATGTTTGAGAGGGTTGGTTGCAGTTACATTCTCGGCCGAGAAGAAGAGTCATGCGTTTTTGGGTGTTTGCCTTGCCATGAATGGTGATGTATATAGGAGTTGTAATGGCAAGTGGCAGTGCGGATGCAGCAATGTCCTCCACGCGTCTTCTGAAAAGCCGGGAGCTTTTGACAAAGTGGCACGCGTTTTCTGAAAAGCCGGGAGCTTTTGACAAAGTTGAACACGTTTTCTGAAAAGCCGGGATCTTTCGGCTTTGTCACCCACGCTTGTCGACAAAAGTGTGCAGCTGCTTTCTCGGCCTCCACGCGTCTTCTGAAAAGCCGGGAGCTTTTGACAAAGTTACACGCTTTATCTGAAAAGCCGAGATTGCGTCTGAAGAGCTGGCGATCTTTACGCCGGAAAATCCGGCTTTGAAGAGTGGTGTCTCCTCATTTCTGAATTGGTGATTGTGTCGCCTCTCCTTTAATAGGGGTTCATCTCCACACATGTTACACTTGCATAATAAAAAGATTTCCAATTGCATTTCAATAAACCATGAATTCTCAACACCCCAAGTTAACCGTGATGCACTAATTAACCTTCAAATCTTCCTAACGTTATTGAATTGGATGATTGCATACGACAACCCAAACATTCCCCACAAGTCCCCTACATGATTGCATAATAGAGATACAAGCAAGAATCATTACGCTCTATGAAAATTATAAGTGTTGACGAGGCATTCGTTACTATGATTGCGTGAAACTTATGCCAAGAATTCGTTTAACGCGATTGTTTATAAGCAACCTCCACTACTTGTGAATATAAGTTCGTAACTATTAGGTGAAACTCACTTATATTCTAGCGTCATATTCATGCATGAAAATTAAGCGTGCACTCTCAATAAACATACATAAATAAGTTATCAATCAAACAGTTAAACAAATTGAATCCACAACTTATGAAACGCAATTAGAAGTAATCAAATCAAAATGCAAGCATAAACATATATTTCGCATCCCCCCCTAGCCAAGGGGGGTTTAGTTCCTCATACGTACAAAACAAAGAGAATTGAAATTAAACATTGAATTCAAAGGAAAAGAAACACCTAAACATTTCAACAACTCAAACTTGAATTGTATGAACGTTTAGGCCCGCTTCTCTTCCTCTTTGTTGTAGCACAAGGTCTAAGGATAGGTTTTGGGGATTATGGATGATGTAGAATGGAGTGGGGTGGTAGGATAGGGAGTGGTTAATGGCTGAATTTCTGGTGGTGTTTGGATTAATAGGGAACTCACGGCACAAGTTGGTGTGTATGGATGATTTTCTGAAATGGAAGAGTGAATGAATGTTGTGTGAAGTGTGTATGGTTTTTATAGGGAGATGAATGGATGGGAGAGGGAACATGACAGCTAGGTTAAGTGAATGCATGTGCAATGAAGTGGAATGACAACTAGGTTATGATGATGAGTGCATGTGAGTTGAAATGCATGTGGAATGGCTGCAAGGATGAAGTGGACAACCTGGAAATGCAAGGTGAATGTGCATGGCTGGAATGAATGTGTTTGCATGTGAATTAAAGCTATATGTGGCTGCAATGATGAAATGGATGGGAGTGCATGTGGCTTGGGTGGAATGAAGGGGGAAGTACACGGCTTTGGGAGAGATTGAATGTGTGAATGATGGCAGATTGTGTATCTGAATGATTAGGGTGAATGTGCATGTGCTTTGACAGCTAGGTTGAATAAATTAAAGGGAGTGCATGTGGCTTGGCTGGAATGATTGGAATGCAATCTGAAATGGGATGGGAGTGCACGGCAAAGGGTGAATGGGGGATGTGTGATTGAATGATTAAAGTGCATGTGGGTTAATATGTGGCTGATTAGAATCTAGGGTGAATGGTGTGTATTGGATGCACGGCAATGGATATAGGAAAGGTTTAAATGTCCTAAAACTAAAGGGAACAAGGTTCCAATACTTTGGTCTTTAATTAGGTCTTCAATTTCGTCCAACACTTTGGCTCCAAGCATAAGCTATCCATCCTTAGCCCAAAAGTGCTCCAAAAGTCTCCAAAATGCATCTTTTTGCTCCTTTAGCCCTTTGGACCTACAAACACACGAAAATAGCTTAAAGTACTAAAATTACTAAGTACTAGCAACATAAATGCAAGAAAACAAGCAAACTAAGGCGCATAAATATGCTCCTATCAATTGCAATTGAAAAACTACTACAAATGCAAGATTTGAACAGACCAATCAAGAAATCCAAAATATGCATGCAACAATGAAAAATATGGAACAACAAATTGGGCAGATTGCATTGCAGGTTTCAAAAAGAGCACCGGGTACATTTCCTAGGCAAACAATACCTAATCCAAGAGGACGAGAAGAATGCAATGCTATACGGACTTTACGGTCTGGCAAAAGTTATGACAACAGACATGAAAACTGCACTGGAAATTCGCAGGCAGCACCACAACCACAAATAGATTCGGGAAATTTTGCAAAATCTAATATTTGTGCAGATTTTGCAATTTCTGCAAAATCTGGGCAGCTGCAAGAAAGATCCGAAAATACTACAGAAGCTACCATAAAACTGCAGAACGTGTTTATGTGCCTTTAATGCCTTATCCCGAAAGGTTGAGGCCTAAAGCTAAAGATCAACAGTTGACAGATTTTATGAAGACTTTGGCTAAAGTTCAAATTAATCTACCATTAATTGATGCAATCAAGAACATTCCATCTTATGTCAAGTTTTTGAAAGACGTTTGTACAAAGAAAAAGAAGCTTCTGGATTCCGAGAAAGTGATTATAACCGAACAGTGCAGTGCTGTCTTATTGCATAAATTGCCTCCAAAGAAGAAAGATTCAGGGAGTTTTACTATCTCTTGCACCATTGGAAATTGTGATTTTAGTAGTGCTTTAATTGACTTAGGTGCTAGTGTAAACTTAATACCTTATTCTATTTTTAAACGTTTAGGTGATGCAGAGCTGAAACCAACTTCCAACATTATTCAATTGGCTGACAGTTCAATTACCTATCCTAGAGGAGTCATTGAAGATGTTATTGTTAAGGTTGACAATCTATATTTACCAACTGATTTTATGGTGTTGGACATGGATGAGGATTTGACAACACCCATCATTTTGGGCCGCCCATTCCTGGCAACAGCCCGGACTCTAATTGATGTTGAAGCCAGAACTCTAACATTTCGGGTTGAAGATAAAACGGTTGTTTTTAGGTGATAAGCAAGAATGCATGCATGTTGGTGCATTAGATAGTTTGCCTCGTGCCAAATTTATGACCAGATTATCAACTGACAATCTGCCCATAAAGACTCAAAATGTGATTCATGAGTGTGAGAGTAAAGCTCAGCAGCACAAAGTTCAGTTGCTTGAAGTGCAAAAATCAAAAACAGATCCGAGCAACCAGATGGACCAAAAACATCCAAATGTCAAGGGCAAGCATAAAAAGTTGCAAGGCAGTCGAAGTTGTGCGAAAATACAGCCTGGTAAAAAAGTGTGGTTGTTCAGTTCTTATTTCAAAACATCTCCAGGGAAACAAGAGTCTTGATGGAAAGGTCCTTTTCTAGCTACTAAAGTTTTTCAGAATGGTAATGTGGACATCAAGGCTGAGGGCAAAGATTTCCCATTTAAGGTTACCAAACGTCAACTTAAACCATGCATTGGGAAATTTGGTGCAAGCAAGTCTTTGACTTTGAAGGAACCAGTGATCTAGCCACCAGACTTCGGCGATGTCAAGCTACAGACTTAAAATAAAGCGCTTACTAGGAGGCAACCCAATTTTTCTGCGCTCTTTCCTAATTTTATTTTTCGTTCTTATTTTCAATTACTAGATGCATTTACATACCTAAGTTTTTCAATCAAAAAAAAAAAGAAACAACAAAAAAAATAAATAAATATATTGTTTCCTTTATTTGCCCAGTTGATTTTATTTTATTTTATTTTCTCTTAACGCCAAGTGCTTAGTTGCAGGTTGCGTACATGGAAAATAAAGACATCCTATACTGGAATCATGCAGCAAGTCTACATTAACATCAACCACTTCTACACTATGCTGGAAATTTCAATTCATGCCGCTAATGAATTATTTGCACTCTTATTCTCATATTTGATTGGAATATGAAATTTGGCTTTGACTGGAAGCGAACTGGGGATTTGACAAGAAAGAAAAAGAATTGTGCATTCGACTAGAACGCAAATATTGTAGTCGACTGGAATACGAGTTTTGTATTCAATTGGAATACAAGTTGGGCTTTTGATTAAAACGAAAATGTGTGAGGACACACTTCTGGGTGTGGGGTATGACTTAATTTTGGAAGCCCACTAACAATAAAGTTGCTAGGGTTTTTCGGCAATAGGAATTAAGGCATCATTTTGACCCTCCATATGATATACACATTTTTATCATGAAAAATCACAAATTGTTTTCTATTTAATATGGATAAATTTAGATTTAAGGGGTTCATGCATTAGAGTGATTTTTCTTATTGTGAGAGTTTCACAAAATTACAAAAGTAAAACGATGTATGATAAACATAAAAATCACATAAGCAATAAAACATCATAATCGGGGTCATGCTTCATGGGATGTTTAAACACAAAATTACGGGTTTGACATGAACTTGAAATCATGAAACAAAATACTTACTTCAAATGTAAAAATGATCATACTTTCAAAATTCATAAAAGCTGAAAGCTTCGTTGCCAAAAGGTGAGAAAAACCAATTTGCAGGGTATTTGTGACTAAAAGAGGTGGTCTCAAAAGACCTATAGCAGTGGCTAGATTGAACCGCATAAACGGAGTGCTTTTGCGGCTAAGGACTGTAGCAACATAGGTCTTTTGATGCAGCTGGCCTTCTGTTGTAAAAGTAGCTTTTCGCGATGAACTCTTTTGTTGGAATAGGGCTTTTTGCGACGACTTGGAAGTATTTTATGATTTTTTTTTTCTTTGCGGCTAGTGAGCTGCAAAAAAAAAATCTAGGGTTTATGGGGGAATATTGTTGTAATTTTGATTCCGTTAAGCGTAAAAGTGCTGATTACATGTTGCAGAGGAAAATAATTTGAAAGAGAATGAGGGAATTCTTATTAGAGAATTTCGTATTTGTTACATTGTGGGGCATAGCCGCCTCTATTTAGTGGTGTGACTATACAATAAAATTATACACATATGCCTAATTCAATACGAATAATCAATTTCTAATCAGTTGAGGAATCAATGACCTATTAAATAGAGGAATCAATTGCCCATGGTTACACCAATTAGTGAGTGGACATAAATGTCCTGGAACAATTATTATGTTATTTATTTATTTACCTATATTAGTTTTCAATTTTGATTACATATAGCCAAACAAAAGATGGATTTCAGGCCTCCAAACAAGCCAAGCTCAAGCTTGAAAATATCATTCAAGTCAAGCTTAGGCATGCCTTAATACTGAGCTGAGCTTGAGCACCATAATACTCGTCATGGTTTAGCTCATTTGCATCCCTATTTCCAATAAACATAAAAATGTCTTTGAATTACATGGTGTTCAAATGAGAGAATTTTTTTGTGAAGATGGTTGAAATGATTAATTTTTAAATTTCTATAGCTCAAATGATCAAATTCCGATCTTATAGATCTGTTTGGGCCCAAAATAATATTATTGAGCCGAGCGTAGGTTTATGTTCGGCCCAAAGCTTTTTCAAATGTACTATGAGCTGTCTGGTGGTCCTAAGCCGCTCAGTTAGGACGGTCGAGTCCTGTTGCAAGAAGGAGTGATTTGGATAAGAGCGGATGGGTCGAAGTCCTAGTACGATAAGGGGTCCTAATGCAATGAGGATTCTTGGCTGGAAATGAATACGACCTGAAAAGGGGGTGAGTTCAAAGTCCTAATAGGAGTAGGATTGGTTGAGATAAGGTTGGATCAGAATAAGAAGTCCTAATCCGAATATGGTTTTAACTTGATTGTAAGGAGAATTGGTTGCTATAAATAGATAGCAGAGTGCATCATTCAGCCCTCTCCAATTCAACACACAATTGCTCTGCGCAAACCTCTCAAACATCTTGAGATTTTTTTACTTTCTTTTTCCGCCAACACATCTTCAATTTGGATAAACAGCACTGTAAAGGCAACCGGCGAACATCTTCAGTTTGGATAAACAACAGTGTTACCGTAGAATCAACCGACCGAGGAGCACCTTCAGTTTGGATAAACAACACTACGTAGAGGCTGACTGACTGGTTACCTATACAAGTCTCGGTCGAGAAGAGTTTCTGAATCCTTATTGGCAGAGGTCATCTTATTAGCCTTCTCGGCGAAGTAAGGTGTTTCAAGTTACTACATTAGGCGCATTGGACGCCGAGTGATTTTATGATTAATAATCACAAGTGAGTTTCAGAGTTCGGCATTATGACTGCCGAACCACATTCACTATCAAGACATACATCTTTTTTGAGTACCTGTGTCCGTATAGTTTGGAGTCGGTTCGACGTGCTTATACTCTTACGTATATAATCACCGTGACTGAACCCGGCGGCGACGATTCGTGAACTACGCAGAACTAGCAGCCTTATCTTCAGGCTCTAGAACTCAAAGGGTGAGACCTGTTTCTTCCTCAGCCGCAGTCGCAAGATCAAGAAGTTAGTAGCGCGTTGAACGCAACATCAACAAATTTTACTTCTCGACCGACAAGTTGGCACGCACCGCATCAACAGAAGGACGTAGTTAGCTCATTAGTTACTCGGCCTGCGCGCCACGTAGGCTTTGTAATTTTTAGGATCAACAAGATATCGACGTATTATCAATAAATTATTACCTTTTTTTTTTTTTTTGGGTAAAAGGATATTTTATTAAACACATAAAAAAAAAAACACAAACATACAAGCAAACCAAGGCCCAAAGACTACATATTAACAAAAAAAATAGGCCTAAAACACTAGAAAACACAAAATTAGCCCAAAAACAGTTAGGCTCAAGCTTGACACCAAGCCTCCGAAGCCAGAAGCTTCCATAGCTTTCCATAGAGCTCCACCAATCCAATTTCACTCCATTCGTCTGATTCCTTGTCCAATGTCGAGCACCGCCTCAACAAATGCCACATCCAACCCCGATTTGCTACCTGAGCACAGCCATAAGCTAGGGATAGCCGACAACTAAGCGAGAGAAGCCAACTACCAATATGAAGCTTGTGGAAACCCACGAATGACACTACCAGAACCGGCAGACAACAAAGAGAAAGTGGTGGTGTTGGAAACACCCGAGCCAGTGGATACATCGGAACTATACGCATACTCTAAGTAGGATTCATGGTTGAAGATCGGAGCAAGGAAGAGCCAGGAAGAGTAATACCCTTGGGGATAGAGGAATATAACAAATCCAAGTAGTGATTTGGGAGAAAAAGTAGTAGAAGCATGGAAAACAAAAGAGAAAGAAAGCATGAAGGAAACGGCAACCGACCTCGACTGAAGCTAGGGTCGGCGCCACTGGGTTTTCTTGGGTTTGAAAGCCTCACACAAGAAGTGAGAATAACCCTCAACTTTGAGAGAAAAACTCTCACCACGGAGAGAAAAAGAAGTTCTGATTAAATTATTACTTTCTTATAAATATGTAAAGGTATTTAATTTTTAATTAATTCAACAATTGAAATTTGTATTAGATTACATTTTTGTTTTCTTTCTTTTAACAAAAATTTCACATAAATTCAGTCACTTACAATTACAAACGGTTACAATGTAATTAGGGTGGGCATAAAACTACCAAACGGGAAAACTGCATCGAACCGCGATAAAAAAACAGTAAAAAACCGTGTTGACCAAAAAAATCAAAGTCAGGACAAAAAAAAAAAAACTGAACCAGATCATTTCAAACAGGTTCCGGTTCTGGTTTGGAAAAACTAAGAACCGGAGAAACTGGCTCGAACTGCTTTTAATATAAATTATTGTTTTATTATTATTTTTTTATAATTAATTGATTGATTAGGGTCTATTCTTTAAATATGTAGTGGGTGCTGGGTCAGTAAGAGATAATATATCACATTTAGGGAGATCTTTGTTTGGTTGTTGCGTTGTAAGTTGTAATTAGCAATTCTTGTTGGTTTTAGGGGATGAGAGGAAACAGATTCCCCAGTGAGTAATTGGGATTTTATCAAGTTGTGCTATCATATTAAAGCAAAAACATTATTAATGTGGTAACTTAGACGATTTTTTTTTTATATTTTGGTGTCTAAATTTATAATTTAAT